TTAAAGTGGCCAAGTTTGGACAGCACTGCCTTAAACCAACAATTTTATCTTAGCAAATCAAGGACAGTGTGGTCAGGAAGACAGAATGCGGTGTCTACCCATGGAGGAAAATGATCTATTAATTCAGATCTGTTAATCCAAGTCGCTGCCCTGAAGTCATCATAAAATCCAAAGCACCACGCCAACCACGTTGACCCCCCTCAACTGAATCCAATCAGTATTCTCACACAGCAGCCATGAAAAGTCTACATCTCTTTTCCTACGGAACAAAAGGGCTTTTTGGCAGAAGATCGGAATCCCATCACTTACGGGTGTTGATTTTCTGCAGGGAGATGTGCTTTTCCAGCTGGCGCCTCAGTTTCACCTCTGCCCCATATTTGCCAAGGGTGCCGTTGTCGGCAAGGATGAAGTGTGTATGGGAGCTGTTCAGCACGCAAAGTTTGCTGAGCGGGTTTGACATTGTTTGATAAAGCCTTGTCACCTGTCAAATAGAAAAGCACATGTTGCTTGGTCTTAGTTTAGGGCCCCAAATCCCAACAACGCCAATGCAAATGTCTCTGGGTATAGCAGATATTCAGGAGTTACTGTCCCTGGGTAGGATAGATCTGTCCTCCAGAGATTATTTCCCAGAAGGAAGAATGGCAATTAATAGAAAGCTGCATTTTGCTTTAACAAGAACATCAGCTGCCAGCCAAATATAAATTTTCAAACAGATGGCCGTTTGCATCCTTTCCTGGATAAGGTGACCAGATGCCAAGAAAGAGGGGAGATTTGCAGCATTTGGTAGCATAAGCAAAGATGGGGCTGTCAAAATGAAATCGCTTCTTCTGCAGAACAACATAGGCCATGGGAGCCCGAAGCTTGAGGCTGATTAATTCAATTCTAACATCAGTTGCTTCCTCATTTCCTCTTCAAGCAGATAAATAGAAGAAGCTTCTTTGGGTATACCTTTGAATCCAGGCCATTTCTGGTGGAGGACACATCCTGAAGGCACCAGGGTGAAAAAGGTTCAAGTTCAGGGGGATTCTGGTTAATCTGAAAATGGAAGCAGAGGCTTCCTGTCTCCAACTTGGGCCCTCATTAGAAGAAGAAAGGGGAAATCCCACACGCAACACTGATTCATACAACACTAAGCTAGGACTTAGCATTACCTCCAACCTGGATGAGAAAGTGACAGCGAAATCAAGGCCAAGCACAAAGCAGGAACTAAAAATGTGGTCACAGAGCTGTGAGTTAAAATGAGCCTTAACAGATGGAAGGAAACAACAAACCCTAAGGCTCTAAGACAGTGTTGTCCAAACTTGGCCACTTTAAGATGAGTGGACTTCAACTCCCAGAATTCCCCAGCCAGCTGGCTGGGGAATTCTGGGAGTTGAAGTCCACTCATCTTAAAGTGGCCAAGTTTGGACAACACTGGTCTAAGAGAATCTGCTGAAGCAAATCAGATGTGTACTTAGTGCTTTCTTAAAAGCAGGCAAGGGAAGGTGGAGCTGATGACACCTCGGAGGAGTCTATCCGATGATCTGAAGCTCCCCTGTCTGGTGATCATCAACCCAGTCTCTCTTTCTTGGTAGGACTGGGAGAAAAGCTTCAGAAGATGTTATGATGTGAACCATAATCCTGCAATAAGCACATATATGCTAATTTGGGGTGACACCAGGAAACCATGTGGGTGTGAGGGCTCCCAGCCCCCCCAATAAACAAAAAACGAAAAACAGGGCAACCACTTCCTTCCTTAAATAATTTATTTTCCAATAAGAAAAGAAGGTGGAACCATGGTAGAGAAGCATGGGCAGGCTTACAAATAGAAGAGAGCAAGAGCTGGATGTTAATCAAGGTGAAAAGAGAAAAGAAAAAAAAACTTGGTAAAAACTCCACCCAAAGTGTGGGGCAGGCTCACATCTTTCCCAAGCAGATCCTCCTTGTTTTCCACAATGCCCCATGGGGCAATGCCAATGGCACAGATGCGTCCTCTGGACTTGGAAGAATGGTCTTTCAGGGCATCTCCAACATGGCGAATGATTCCTGCACAAGGGAGGAGACCAGCTCATTAGCTTCTTCCCTGGGATACAGCTTGGAGAACACTTTCTCCATTAAACACCCCCCATCCCTTTCCCATGGATTAAGACAGTCCCATAAAGATGTGTAGTGGGTATCTTCTGGAATGGCCAGATGAAAGACTGTTTTTACAATGATGGCACCCTTCTGCTGCTCTCTGAGAGGGTCAATCTTCCATCGTTCTTAGAAGTTCACCGGGCTGCATTGCCCATCTCAAGCTCATTGCTTTGGCTTCCAGCAAAGATCATCCCCAGTGCAATAGCTAGTACTTGGGTCATCCTTCAAAGCCCACTGTGCTTTCTCTGTCTCCCACCCACACAAACGCACCCTGCCAGAAAACCTGGCATTGATCGCAGCCAGCTTCTTGAAAGAGATCTGCTGGTGAACTTCCAAGTTATGGACAGCTGACCATTAGATACCTGTACTGACTCCTCCGGTGAAAATCCAAGCACCAGTGGTCATGGCAGCCTTGATGAGGCCCTTCCCAAACACTTGCTTAAGTTTGGGCTGCAGTTCAAAGTTCTGGAGCCCCCCATGGACAGATATTAAGAGCTTGGGGAGTTCCAGCTGCCAGTCCTTCACCATGAGATGGAGCAGCAAGTCTGGCTTGGTATCATAGGAAACTCGGATGTACTGCAAGATAAAAGGAGACGGAAGTGCTGCTGCATCTGATCAACATCCAGTTAGCTCAGCTCCCATTTTGGCTTCCCTCCTGACAAGCCAGTTTGGTGGGAAACGCAGTTTTAGCCTAGTCTAGTCCCAGGGTTTGATTTTCCAGAGAAAAGGATTTTATGCATTCCTGCTAGGAGGTCTAAGCCTACCACCAAACTGCAGTGGCACATTTTACTTTACAAACGCAGTTTGACTCTTTGGGTTTCCTTCAGATTTTCTCAAAAGTCACTTCCCCACATTTGCTTCCAAGTTGGCTTGGGCTGAAATTTGGGCATTGCCCAAGGGCAGATGCCCAGAGGCTCCCTGGCAGAACGTCACTGGGAAGGCCATCTTGGAATGCCATCGCTGTCTCTTCTGGGGAATGAACCCTTCTTACTTACCATGGACTTATTGATATGACCTCCACCTTGGAACTCGAGATTTCCAAAGGCATCGGTTGGGAGGGCTTGGGTGTGTTTACCGATGGACCATTTCTCTGGTTGAGCCTCTACCTGCCTTGTGGGGTCCTCTCCATTCTTGTTTGGAGTTACGCCTGGAATGGGGATGTGTTGAGTAAGGAGTTGGCCGCAGCAGCACCTGTGGCCAAAAGCAGAATAGAAACATGAAACCAGGCCCAGCTGCTGCCATCTAACCCTTTTGCTGTTTGGGGTTGTTACCCACCTAAAGAAGTTGTAATGCCCCAGTTCGTTAAAAAAAAAAAAATCAATTAATTACATTTGAATAAATTTGCAAGCCAGTTAAAAAATAGCTTTGAAGCCAGAAGTCTACACCTTTGGGGAACCTTTTATTAGGAGAATACCTTCTGACAGGAGAGTTCCTCTTTGCAGATTATACGGTACACGCCTTCTGCAATTTTAGCAATTCTTTTTAAAAAGAAT